AGAGGAGACAAACTTGAGAAAGAAAGGGCTAAGGGGCAGGGGTCTTTCAGTCACTATTTTGACTAAGCTGGCTGGCCACGGAATTCCGGGAATCTGCCTGTCTCTACTCGCCACCTCTGAGAATAAAGATGCATGCTGCTGCATCTGGTGTTTATGTCAGCACTGAGGATCTGAACTTGAATTCTCATGACTGTGTGGCAAACTCACTGGGCCATCTCCCCGGATCCCACACCTCTGTACTTGAGTGTTGTATTTGCATGTATGCCTGCATGACAGAAGAGGGCACCAGACAGAAGAGACCATCAGGTCCCATTATACATGGTTGTGAGCCTCCAGGTGGGTGCTGGGAATTGAACCCAGGATGTCCAGAAGAGCAGCCAGTGCTCTTAACCTCTGAGCCATCTCTTTGGCACCCCTACCCTCCAACACACACTCCCCTCCTTCCTAATTTAGGAATCAATACCACTGGTGTAATCCCTCTGAACTCCAGACTCCTCTGCCTGTTATTGATAGATTAATATTTCCAGGAAACAATTTCAAATGAGCAAAGCCTGGTACTCCAGGTGCCTTCCTAAGTCCTTAACTGCTTTCCCTGTCCTCCCAAACCCATTGCTGCATCTCAGACACAATTTTGAATATTCACATCTTGTCTTGAGTTTGTTACCTTGTAGTCCCAGGCACTGGGAATCTGTGGTAGAAGAGAACAGCAGAAGAGTCTGTTTTTAATCATTAAATTTTTAATTTTTGACAATTTCACGCACATACAAACGTATTGCAATCATATTCATCCCCCACCCCATCTTGTCCCCTCCCAGATCCACTTCTTCCCATACAATCTCCTGCTGTTTTCACGCCTTTTTCTTTGTTTTTCACTTAAGTCTTGTGCAACTACTGTGCGTTCATGATTGCAATGGCCAAGTCATACCTAGCTTCATAGCATTCCCCTTACTATCTTTTCGCCCTCTCTTCCTTGATGTTCCCTAAGCCCTAAAGAAGAATGCAGATGTCCTGTTAGGGCTGAGAAGGCAACAGTCATCCTCTGTGCTTTTCCAGCTGTGAGACTGAATTCATTCATTGTCTTCCTCAGACCCAGGCTGAAAGTAACACTAGACTATGAATATAAACACAAGCATTTAGAAGGCAGTTTGGCTATAAGTCACACCAACAATACCAAGTTCCCTCCTAGGGCATGTGACCTTCTTAGTCTTAAGCTTTTGATCAGGTTTACAGTACTGGGCATGCATCTCTCCCATGGAGTGGGCCTCAGAATCTAGCAGAAAGTGACTGGTAACCCTCCTTGCCCCATGTCTTGTCACTGCTGCACCAATGGCAACATCTTGCTGGGTCAGTCTTGTAGCACAAAGAAGCCCTTCCTTTGGGCTGGGGAGATGGCTCAGTGGTTAAGAGCACTGATTCTTCTTCCAGAAGGGTCTTCTCTTCTTGAGTTCAATTCCCAGCAACCACATGGTTGCTCACAACCACCTTGAATGAGATCTGGTGCCCTCTGCAGGCAGAAAAGGCTTTTTTTTTTTTTTTTTTGATTTTTCAAGACAGGGGGTTGCTTGCATGTATGTCTTGTGTGAGGTTGTCAGATCTTGGAGTTACAGACAGTTGTTAGCTGCCATGTGAGTGCTGGGAATTCAACTAGGGTCCTCTAGAAGAGCTGTCACTGCTCTTACCTTCTGAGCCATCTCTCCAGCCCCTTGAAAACATTTTTTAGACAAGATCTCACTGTGTAGTTCTTGCCACCCTAGACCAATATATAGACCAGGCTGGCCTCGAACTCACAGAGATCCGCCTGCCTCTACCTCCTGTGTAACACATTTTAAATAAATATTCCACAACAGTCATTAAATACTTACTTGGTGAATAAATAAGGCATAGCTCCTTGGCAACTTCATGTGTGCACAAAGTTCAGGCTTGATACTTAGCACTACAAGAAAGATATATATATATGTGTATATATATATATATTCATATGCATGTATCTTGGGTTTTTTGTTTGTTGTTTTTGCTGGCTTGACTTTGACAGGCAAAATCTTTCAAATGTGGAGTTACTGCAAAACAAGAATCATATAGGATGCCCAGGCCCTTCTTGGCCACACCCTTAGTCTTTGGGGAACATAGAGGTCCAAAGCATTAGAATCTGGTCTTGTGGGGCAGACAGGATTTTTCCTGTCTCCCTCTTCTCTTCTGTCCTCTCTGTGTCTCTGCGTCTCTTTGCCTCTTTTCTCTTTCCTCCCCCCCTCCACCTTCCCTTTGTAATAAAACTTCTCATTTAAAAAAATAAAATAAAATAAAGAATCTGGTCTTATAGCATAATGCTACACTTGGGACCCTGAGGCAAGAGGATTGATGCAAGTTCAAAACCATCTTGGGCTAATAGTAAGACCCTGTCTCAAAGAAAGGGGGGGAGAGAGGGAGGGAGAGAAAGAGAGACAGAAAGAAAGAAGGAAAGAAAGAAAGAAAGAAAGAAAGAAAGAAAGAAAGAAAGAAAGAAA